CAAACCCACCAGCCACTCCTCGGAAGGAAGGTTGGGCAATCCTACTTCCGTAGTGATACTGCCTCGGAAACCCAAGGAGGGGTCGCTATGAGTCGGGGTCGACTCGATGGCACATAACAACAACAACAACAATCTCTATACATTGAAATGTCCCCAGGGCTCATCCTTGCTCCTTTTCTAGGTTCACTCCTTAAATATCACCCATACACCAGCTACTCTTAACTAGTCCACACCACTCATATCCAACAGCCTACTCAACATTTCCACTTGGATACTATTTCAAACTCAACATGTCTAAAACATGTTGAGATCAGAATTTCTGATCTTCTTCCCTAAATCTATCCTACCGGAAGCCTCTTTCATTTCAGTGCAAGGCAACACCATCCTTCCACTTGGTCTGCCAAAAACTTCAATCTTCCTCAAATCTTTTTCTGACATCAGACATCCAATTCATTGACCAAGTGAGCGTGTTCTACCTTCTCACCTGGTCCAGTCTATTATCATCTTATCTGGATTACTACTCTGGTGGCATAGGGTCTAAGGCATTTGAGTACTAACCAGAAGGCTGGCAGTTCAAACCCACTAGCCACTCCTCAGAAGGAAGGTTGGGCAGTCTACTTCCATAGTGAGTAGTGATATCACCTCGGAAACCCAAGGAGGGGTCATGATGAGTCGAATCTGACTCGATGGCCAGTGAGTTTGGTTTGGTTCTGGATTACTACAGTAGACTCCTCATGAGTTCTATGGTTTCTCCCCTTGTCTCTCTACATCTGTAATCCTCAACACAATAGCCAGAGTCATCCTTTCAGAACACAGATCATGCAGGAATGGCTACACATGTGGAATCCAGGGCAAAATGGCAATATAGGGTTCCTTGTTAAAATATCAAAAATTTCAAGACAGTGACAGCAGGGCATTAAACCAAGCATTGGGTTGCCATGGGACTGCAGAGGTCACACATGAAGCCAGCTCCTCTGCACAAATCCTTTCAACCATGCCTTGTCTTACTCAAAGTCAACTCTCAAGTCCTTAAAGTACATATAAGGCCTTTCTGCTATCTGTTCCACTTCCTTCTGAACTTTCCTTTGTATTTACTTTGATCAAACCACACTGGACTGATTCTTTGCTGTTCCTCAAACACTTCAGGCATATTCTTTTCTTAAGGCTCTTAAACAAGTTATTCCTTCTGCCTGGAAAACTTCTCTTCTGTATTATCTTCTTGGCTCACTCCTTCACCTCCTTCAGTTCTCTCCTCAAATATTATGTTCCCAAAGAAAGCCAACCTGATCACTCTTTAAAACTGTAGCTGCCACCACCTCCTTTGCCCCCATTATTGAGAGCCTGAGCCCTTATACCATGTTGTTTTCTTGCAGTTACCACCTTATAACACATAATCTAGTCATTTATTGTGAATTGTCTGTCTGCCCCTAAATAGACCATGAAGACCTGTTTATTTTGTTTACTATACATTATCAGTATCTACAAAAGTGCCTGGAAAATTGTAGGTGCTCAATAAACATTTCTTGAATGAATGGATGTAGAGGAATAATCATCAGAACCAATTACTGTGCCAAAGAGTTGAAAGAAATTTAGGTGCCCATTAGTAGAGGAACTAAAATGTAAAAGGTGGTATACACATATTCATAGGCATATGATAGAACACTATGCAGCAGTCAAAATGATGAGCTAGATCTGCATTTAGCAACATGAGCTGCTCTCAAATACAATGTGAAAAACTATTTACAATAGTAAAAAGATGGAAACAACCTAGGTGCCCATCAACAGAAGAGTGGATAACCAAACTATGGTACATACACACAATGGAATACTATGCAACCCTAAAGAATAACGTAGAATCTGCAAAACACCGCGTAACGTGGATGAACTTGGAGGACATTATGCTGAAATAAGTCAATCACAGAAGAATAAATATTGTATTAGTTCGCTATTGTGAAAAGTCAAGGAAAGGTTTATATATGGAAGGAAACTTTCTTTTTGGTTACCAGGGGTGGAGGTGGGCAGAGGGAACACTACTAGATAGATAGAGACAAGTATTTATTTGGGTGAAGGGAAGGGCAGTGCACCAAATGTGAGCAATCAATACAGTGGCATCGAGGAAGAGGAAGACAGAGAGAGGTACATGGGAGATACAGACAACAAAGATGAACCCTTTTGCACATACATTACTGTGTTGTCAGTGATGGCAAACATTGATCTAAGGGTGGACAGATGGGTAGGCAGGCTGAATGATCAGGTCTGTCTAGGCAGGGGGCAGTGTGTGCCCATGACCATGTATAGGGTTAGCAGACGATGTTTCTACAAGCATATTTGTATGTTCTATAAGAATGTCCAGGTATATAGTAGAACTGACAAGGGACAAGTTCGTGGTGACTCCTTGGCCACAGCCAGCTACCCAGAGGGAGCGATAGTTACCTGTGGGCTTGGGACTGTGGTCGCAGGGGAAATCAAGCTCCACTGGCATAGCATACCACACAAAAACATCGTTTTACATCCTACTTGCTGAGTAACGACTAGGATCTTAAAAGCTTGCAAGCAGACATCTAGATGCAACGATGGGTCTCTCCCTGTCCATAACAAAGAAGAATGAAGAAAACCAAAGATTCATGGAAACATTTAGTCCAAGGGACTGGTAGACCACGCCATTCTCAGCCTACGTGACCATAAGACCAAAACTAGATGGTGCCAGGCTACCACTGTCAACCACTCGGAGGAGGATCTGTATAGGAGATCCTGGATATAGTGTGAAGCGAAGAACAACGAGGAACAAAACTCAAAAATTACAAAAAAAAAAAAAAAGACCAGCTTGCTGGTCTGATAGAGCCTGGTAAAACCCGAGACTGTGGTGCACAGCTGCCCTTCTGTTCTGGAATTGAACTCATTGCTGTGGCTTCCAGCCAAATAAAAGACTGGCATATGGGGTGAACATTTACATCAGGTAGATACATGGGGAGAAAAGAAGGGCTGTGTATGCATAGGGAGACTTACTAGGAGGGGGGCAGCAGTGCATGGGAGGGGAAGGACAAAAGGAAGAGGTAACTATGAGGAGGGAGTGGGAGGGGAGCTGTTGCTTTGTGGGAAACTGCAGTCAGTATCATGAGACAAAGTGTATGTGAACTGCTGTAAGGAAGATGAAATTGCTCTCTCTGTAAACTCTCACCCAAATCACAATAAAAAAATATTTTTTTAACGGAAAAAAATGCAATGAGCATTAAAATCTTTTACATAAATTAGAGTCACATGTAAATATAAAATAATGCTAAATAGTTTTAAAGAGTACATATATATCTACCACAAGAAATAATCAAACCAACTTGCCCTGGAGTAGATTCTGACTAATGGCCACAGTCATATTAAATAGATAAGGGTGGGTACATGGGAGTGTAAGTGAGGATGGAGACTGAAAAAAAATGAATAATTCAAGGCCTGCCAAAGTAGATGATGATAAACTACCCTGAATATAGAGAGTGATTACCCCAACTATCTGCACTTGAGGTCCAAAGAGGAGGAGAGAAAAAAAAAAAAAAAAAAAAAAGTCATCGACAGTCCATTCAGCAATTACCCAGCACCTCTAGGTGTCAGGCAACGTATTAAGAATTGGGAGTACAGCCATGAACAAAACTGGTAAGTTATAACATTTGTAAGGATACCGAAAAGTAAGTAAAATACATAGTACGCCAAATGGCGAACAGCGCCATGGGAAAAAGACGGAGGCCTAGAAAATTCTCCGGAACTGAGCATAGAGTTGAAAGCTGTCGATTTTTAGGTAGGACTGGCTGCCCTTTCAGGGGCTTTCAATCGAGGCAAGAGCCAGATCCCCACAACTGAGTCCAAGGGGATGGTGGGGGAGGGGGATCCCTGGGAACGCAGCAAGGGGGGCTTAGGGTCCAGAATCTATACGCCCTATCCCTGTGTATGGCCCTCGGTTGGGGGTAGGAGGTCAGGAGTGAAGGCTTGGGGAGCAGACGGTCCACTGGGCCGCTGCCACTGGCTGGCCACCCAGCCACCGCCGACACGCCCATCCCCCCACCTGCCCCCATCCGGGGCACTCACAGTTCTGCTCAACCAAAGGCAGGTGCGTGGTGATGCAGGCCAGGAAGCACTCGTTCCCAAAGTCCCAGTCCAACAAGCTCGGCGGGACCTGGCCATGGAGGCTGCCCCAGAAGTCGGTATGTTCAAGTTTTAGGTCCACCTTTAGGAAAACGAAAAATAGACTGGCAGGGGAGTGGGCGAGTCAGGAAGAGGCGGAGGAGGAGTGGGCCTCTGAGGCACTTCCTTAAATCCTTTGCCCCCGGCTCTGATTGAATTAGGTGGGAGGAAGCGCAGGTGTGGACAGACTACCTTTTGACACCTTTAGTCTCCTCTAGACTCAGGTGAGTACTGTTTAGGCAAAGTCTTTCCCCAGCCGTGTAAGTTTTCATTTTGGAGTTTGGGGAACTCGGAGGTCCACAAGGGATATATATCACAGGAACCACTCACTCGCTACATTTGCACAAAGCTCCTATCTCATTTAAAATGCTATCTCATTTAAAATTTACAGTGATCCCATGATATCGTCCATAAATCACTTTCTAGAAATTCTGATAGGTTGTGCGGCTTATGCAAGTTGAAGTACACATCTGTACTAGGTGGTAGAGATAGGATTGAATGGTGATTTCATTTAGGTTTTGGTTTTCAATAATTTCAAGCTTACAGAAAACTAAAAAATACTATAAAGAATTTCATCCAGATTCACCATTTATACCAATTATTAATATTTTATCATATTTGATTAATTATTCTCTCTGTAAATATTTATTTTTTGTACAAACATACAGTTTGAGAGTAGCTTGCAACATCATGTCCCTTTACCCATAAATACTTCAATATGTATTTCCTAAGAAAAAGGATACGGGCTTCATAACTCAAAAATCAGAAATCAGAAAATTATCAAAATCAAAATTTAACATTGATTCAATGTATTCAATATGCAGATCCTATCCATATTTTACCAGTTGTCCCAATAATGTCCTTTATATTTATATAATATATATATTTATCTGTATGTATATATATATATTTTTTTATTTTTTTTGGTCTAGGATCCAATTCACAATCTTGTACTGCATTTAATTATCATGTATCTTTAGTCTCCTCTACTCTGGAGTAATTTTTCAGCCCCACCCCTTTTTTTTCATCTTTCATAATAATGACATTTTTGAAGCACTGTTGTTGTTGGGTGCCATTGAGTCGGCTCCAACTCGTAGTGACCCTATGTATAACAGAACGAAATACTGTACAAGCCATTTATTCTGTAGAATGTCCCTTTGTTTAGGTTTGTCTGATGTTTCCTTATAATTAGACTTAGATTATGCATTTTGGTGGCAAGAATACCACAGAAGTGATGTGGTTTCATTATTTGACCATCACATCAAGAGACACACGATGTCATACTTGGTCGCATTGTTAGTGATGTTAGCTTTAACTACTTGGTTTAGTGGTATCTGCCAAATTTCTCTACTGTAAAGTTACTACTTTTCTCCTTTTGTAGTTATAAGCAATATATGGGGAAGATACTTTAAAGTTATTTAAAATTCTGTTCCTTGTCAAGCTTTATTTTAAATTTTTTATTGTGATTTGGGTGAGAGTTTACAGAGGAAATTCATTTTCCATATAGCAGTTCATACACATTTTGTTTCATGACATTGACTGCAATCCCTACAATGTAACAGCTCTCTTCCCACTTCCTCTGTGTAGTTACCTCTTCCCTGTGTCCTTCTTTCCTGTGCATTCCTGCGCCCTGAGCCAACTCCCTGTGCAAATACTGCCCTTCTGTTCTCTCATGATCAATCGTTCTAAGGAGTATATCTTCCTGATGTAAATGTTCACCCTATATTCCTATCTATTATTTCCTGGAAGCCACCAGAGTGAGTTCAATTCCAGACCTGAAAGGTAACTAGGGGCCATAATCTTGGAGATCTCACCAGGCTCTATCAGACCGGTAAACCTGGTCTTTTTGTTGTTGTTGTTGTTGTTGTTGTTGTTGTTGTCTTTTCTTCCTTTTCTGTCTTTTTAACCTGGTCTTTTTTATGACATTGAGTTTTGTTCCACATTGTTCTCCCACTCTACCCAGGGTCTCCTGCACTGATAACAAGCTTTTTTGTTGTTGTGTAGGCCTCGAGTCAATTCTGACTCATAGTGACCCTACGACACAGAATAGAACTGACCCCATAGGGTTTCCTGTTTCCTAGGCCTTTATCAATGGCACATAACAACAACAACATTTACTGGAACAGATTGCTAGGACCCCCTCATCCCCATCCCACCCCTGCATGTGAGGATTGGTGGGTTCAAATTGCAGAGCTTTTGGTTAGTGTCAAAGCGCTTAACCATTGTACCACCAGGGATCCTTCCAATTAGCTTTAGCACCTATCTATGGTTCCTGCCTGAATCTGTCTTTACTGTGATGGTTATAAAGTAGCGGTTTTTCTGTGTTTGTCATTCCTTTTCATTTTATTAGTTGGCATTCTACTGTAAGGAAGAACTTTTCCTTCTCCGGTATCTGTTATCAGTATGGATTCTTGTTTTACATAATGGATTAACTTCATTACTCTCAACTTCATTACTCTCATTTGTTTTGGTCCTCATACTGTCCCACATTTGGCCAGCAGGTAAGGCAGCCCCCTCTGGCTCCTTTGTGTGGGATCCTAGCCTCTACCATCAGCACTCATCCACCCTGTGGCTGTGCTGTGTTGCCTATTGCTTACCCATCCTCTCTACTAAACCAGAAACTTTCACAGTAGTGCATAGCACATGTTGTTGTTATGTGCCGTTGAGTCGGACCCTACTCATAGCGGCCCCTCCTTGGGTTTCTGAGGCAGTGTCACTACGGAAGTAGATTGCCCCATCTTCTTTCCAAGGAGTAGCTGGTGGGTTTGAACTGCCAGCCTTCTGGTTAGCAGTCAAATGCTTTAGGCACTGTGCTACAAGAGCTCCCACGTAGCACATAGGAGTCTCATAGGAGACTCTCAATAATGTAACTTCAACTAAAGTGAAACCAAACTTTGTAAAAGTTTTCTAAGACTCTACCTTTAATATTATTAAAAAACAATTATACTTCCATAACTATAATGATTGTTATTGCCCTAGTTATAAAAGTAATAGATGGTTGATGCAGAAAATCTGGAAATAGAGAAAGTACAAAGGGAAAAACAATAAAACAAAAATCATTCTATCACCACTGGGCAATAGTAATTGATTACATTTTCTGTGGTGGTAAGTATATATATGACAAAACATTTCCCGTTTCAGCCTTTTTTACATGTACCATTCACTGACATCAATTATGTTCATCGTGTTGTGCAACCATCACCACTATCCATTTCCAAAATTTTTATCACCCTTAACAGAAGTTCAGTGTCCCCTGTGCAATGAATCAGTCCCTCTCTTTCCCTCCCCCCCAACCCTTGTTGTTTTTAGGTGCTTTGAACGATCCCATATTCAACAGAACGAACCACTGCCCAATCCTGCACCATCCTCACAATTCTTGCTATACTTGAGCCCATTGTTGCAGCTGCTGTGTCAATCCATCTTGTTGAGAGTCTTTCCCTTTTTCACTGACCCTGTACTTTACCTCTGATGAGTACTAATAACCTTTGGTCTCTATATAGTTGCCTATTCTAAATATTTTATATAAGTGGATCATTCGTCCTTCTGTGACTGACTGGATTACATTTTGATAGATATTCTTCCAATCTCTTTCCTTATGGGTATTTTTTTTTTTAAAATGTTATTGTAATGCATCTATCATTTTATAGTTCTTTTACAATTAGTTTACCATTTTTAAATGTTCGATCAGTAATTCCCAAACTTTACTGCACATTGGGATCTCCTGGGGATCTTTAAAAAATACACCAGGCTTCTATGCCAGAGTCATCCTGATTCTGGTGGGGCTATACCCTGGACATCAGGATAGTTTAAAGCTCCCTAGAAGATTCTAATGTGCAGCAAAGTTTGCTTCCCAGTCCGATGCTCTTCCTATCGTACTAGAAGGTTGGACTCCAAACCTCCCTAGGCTGGTACAGTTAGATGGGGAAGCAGAGCCCAGGCCATTCCCTCTGCAAGGCACGTTCTCCCTGCCCCTCTCTCATGCCTTCAGGCCTCAGCTCAGTTACTCACTAACTCATAATGACCCTACTGGACAGAGTAGAACTGCCCTGTAGGGTCCCCAAGGCTGTAAATTTGTACGGAAACAGACTGCCTTGTCTTTCTCCTGTGGAGCTGCTGGTGAGTTTTAACCCCAAACCTTTTGGTTAGCAGCCAAATGCTTTAACTACTGCTCCACCAGAGTTCCTTCAGCTCAGGCCTACCCAGACTAAAGGGCCCAGTACTCACTCACATTGCCACTATTTATAGCATTTATCACATTTTATTTTCAACGTACTTACTTTTTCACATTTTGTGTGTGTGTGTGTGTATGTGAAAGGGTATGTCTCTTCCAGTAAATCGCATTAGGGAAGAACAGTGTCTGTCATGGATTGAATTGTGTCTCCTAAAGATATACTTTGTAAATCCTAACCTGTGGCTGTGGAAGAAAGACTGGACAATCTACTTCTGTAAAGATTTACCACCTCAGAAACCCAAAGGGGGTCGCTGAGTCAGAATCGACTCAATGACAGTGAGTTTGGTTGGCTTATACCTGTGGATATAATCCCATTGGGAAATAGGGTTTTCTTTGTTATGTTAATGAGGACACATCAATATCTTAAACTGCTTTTGAGATATAAAGACAGTAGATCAGGCCTAGAAGCAAGCAAGTATAAATGGGGGAAACGATAGATGCCACTTGGAAATTACCAAGGAACTGAGGAACACCAGGCTAGAGAAGCTGAAACAAGGATTTCCTCCCAAGAGTGCATAGCGAAAGAGATCCTTTCCCTAGAGAGCTGGCACCCTGAATTTGGACTTTTGTTGTTGTTGTTGTTCGGTGACATCAAGTAGGCTCCCACACAGCAACCCTATGTCAGAAATACTACCCAGTCCTGTGCCAGCCCCACAGTCCTTGCTATACTTGAGCCAGTGTTGCAGCCACTGTGTTAGTCCACCTCACTGAGGGCCTTCCCCTTTTTCACGGACCCTCCACCCTACCAAGCATGACATCCTTCTCCAGGGAATGGTCCCTTCTGACAACATGACCAAAGTAGGTGAGATGAAGTCTGGCCATTCTCACTTCCATGGAGCATTGTGGCTGTACTTCTTCCAGGACAGATCTGTTCGTTCTTCTAGCGGGCTGGCACTTTTCTGTTCATTAAAGCCATCTACTTACGGTATTTCTGTTATAGCAGCACTAGGTAACTAAGACAGTGTCTTTTTCACAGTTTATTGCTAGCACCTTCTGTAACACCTGACACATAATAAATACTTTGGTTTATGGAATGAATACAAGTTGCTGTCCTTCTCTTCCATTCCTTCTATCCCCAGGGCCCTTGGGCCATCAAAACCATGTTCCAGCATCTTCTGTCTCCCCACTCTCTGAATCTTGTCTGATCGTTTTCCCAGACATTTTACCACTTTCCCAGCCCCTTCTTTCTCTTCAGGGGCTCATTTATTCATTCACTTGTTTGTTCATTCACTTATTCAACAGGTATTTATTGAGAACCTACTGTATTATAGGTACTGTGTTTGGCCCGGGGGAGCTGAGTGCTTACATTCTTGTGGGAGAGACAATTGAATAATTGCACAACATGCAAACTATGGTAATGCTATGAAAGACAGGATAGGGGACCCAACCTAATAGGGAGGAGTGGAGGCCAGAGATGGCTTCTCTGGAGAAGGGACACTGAACTGATACTGGAAGGATGATTCAGAATTAACTATGCAAATAGGAGTGATCCAGTGTGTCTGTGGGATGGGGGTTGAAAGC